GTAAATGATCATTGGACCCAGAATCTCACGGGTCAGTCGGTCGAGTAGATTATCACGCTCACATTTGTCTGAAATGGTCAACCTCGGTATGCACTGCATGCTGCAATGGAGAGGTGCTGTGGCAAGGTCACCGGCTCGCTAACCTCGAAACGCTACGCAAACTCGATGGGTTCAAACCTGGTGACTCGTCGGCGCCTCAGCTCAAGACATATATGACGATGTGGTGATGGGGTTGTGGGTGGCTTGGCAACTTGTTGCGAAACCATCCGCATTGCCCACCATGAGACCAAGCTGTTTCGCGTCCCCACCGTGAGCACCAACAGCGTCAAGATTAACGGTCACCTTTTTTGTAAGAGATTGCTATTCAAGTACTCGGTGTCGTGCGTCCAGGAAACTCAATCCGCAGACACCTCTTAACGCTCAAGTTCCATCTCAACTTGAGCTTTTCTAGCTGGACTGTTAAGATCTCTCATCTCGGACCCCCAGTGTTCCAGGTAGCGAAGCGAGATCTCTTGAGGATTTGTCGAGACTTTTCCACTTGGTGTCGCGACTTTCTCGATCGAACTCGACGTAGACTTGCCGCTTGGACGTCGTATGCGGTGTCATTTGTTGTACTGACTCACCCGCGTGACCGTTTCCTTGTAGATTTTATGGCTTCATCGTAGTGATAAGGATTTGAGTTGCTACCTGCTGTTCGATATTGGTCGAGTACAATGCAGGCGTAATCATCTGCTTGCGCGTATTGCATCCAGAACTTCTTCTGCACATCTTGCGGTGGTGTCTTGATATTCCATTTTTCCACACCTGCCGGGTTTCTTTGCCGCACGCACTTGATCGCAAACTAGGTCGCTTCCTTCTCAATCGCAGACACTAATTTCGGGTAGTTGAGAATGTACTGCGGGAAGTTTCAGTCACCTCGACTGTACAGTTGTTTACTTGGCTGACTTTTGCTGTGTGCAAGTCGATCGCCAGCTTGGTTTGGTTGGAAGTACATTTAGTCGTCCAGAGTTGATTGCAGAACGTCTCAGACAGCAGGATGTAGTCCGGCCAGGGTGAACACACGCTTCGTGTCGTAGTGGATCCGCCATGCATCAACACCACCCAACTACGCTAGCCACTCGAGACAGCGGTAATCAACTTGGGTTATACCTTGTGTCAATATGCGAGGCCTCGACTTGAGTATCGAGAGGAGCGTTGAGGTCAGCGAACTTGATATGCGTCGCTTGATCATCGAACCCTTCATCTCGATATGTGCTGCTCTTTTTGTCGATCCACAGGGCCAACACGTTGCTGTTGTAGATAGGAGCACTCTCAATTATCACCTTCGCGATAAGATAGCGACCTGCGACCTACAGCTGTGACTTCAATCGCCGAATCGGAGCCAGGGATGCCAGCATCGTGAGCACTTCACCGCTCCGACCATTCGTGGGACGATCCAACAGCGCGTTGGGTTCGTCCACTATGATCACCTGACGTAGTCATGCAGCGTCATATCATCGAGTCTTTTCTCTGCTTTGTTGAAAGTCGATTATGCGATGCTTGACACACCTGACACACAGCTGCCGACGTTGCAAATTCGATTCGGCACATGAAAGCGACATCCTCGTCTGGCACAAACGGGTTGACCGCTAGATTTTATCAGGCTGCTCTGGATGTGTTTGGAGAGCTTAATTATCGTTTTCAAGGTCCGACTTTGCCGTGGGGTTCTGCTTCTATCGCAGCGTAGTGCTTCTGCACAAGAAAGTATCGATACTTAAACCAGGCAATTACTTACAGTTCGACTCATGCAGAGCAAGATGAAAATTTTGTTGAATGCGCTGACATATATTCTGCAGTAAGTCATCGCCGATTTGATCCACGCAGACCAAAACCGATTCGTCAAGGACGGTCGATCCACCACCACGTGCCATTTCCCACTAATTTGCAGATACTCGTGAAGGATCGCGACGGAGAGGTGTACGCGTTGTTCCTGGAATTCCAGAAGGCGCTCGGTCAAATCATCCGGTACTAGATTACCCGGCTTACCGAGAGAATGGGGTTAGGCACATCATTAATCAGATAAAGCGTCGCGAACCTACAGGCGCAATTTGAGATTTTGAAAGACTACTGCAGAGACTAGGGCGTGAAGCCAAACTTTTTTAAGTCGGTAAATGAGAATCCATGGAGTGATACATCGGTTACACTACCACGACTGTGACGCCTGATCTACAGGCAAGTAGCTGCGGAAACTGTATAAGGAAGCAGCACAGATCGTGAAGCGACTTGAAGTGTCGCAACTTGTGTTATCGCTATAAAACAGCAAATGAATGTGTCTGCTTCACCACTTAGGCCGCACAAGTGACGTAAGGCCGTGCTTGCTTCCGAGATCCTACGTTCTGCACTTTTCCGTGCTGTGTGGACACCCAAGCCACCAATGAAGCCACACCCAATTGGAATCCACTCGCAGGGACTCGATAAAGCGTAAACTAAGTTGTTTGTCAACTTTGGTGAGCATTCGAGCAACATCCTGCTTCCCGTTTCGACTCGTCTTCCGTCTTCTACTAGTGCGCTCGAGATTCTATTTTCTCGAGACAAACACGCGCATTCAGACTGTGTCCGCGACGGGTAGGACGTCATCGAGGCCGAGCAGCAATCGCACTCTCCCATCGTAACTCAGTTGGCAGGTGCTCGAGCCGGTATTACTGTTTGTCGTTGAGCGTCCAAAGCGGCTCGACATTACTCTGGTCTGAGAAGACGTGGTTGATGACGTGTGACACACGCTTTGAGAAGTAACACTTCAGTTTTTGTAGTTTGATAGCAATCGATGTCTCTTTGACAAGAGACAACCCACACTGGCGCTCACAGCGATCAAGGTGATCTTCACGATTCTTTTCGATCACATTCGGTACCCTCAATGACTCACAAAAGCTGAAGAATCACCCAACCTTAGGTGCGTTTGTCAGAGGCTTTCCAGGTATCACTAAGGTGCGGAATTCGCATAATGTATAATCATTCAGAATTGCATTGCGGCAAGCACAGTACATAAAAAATGATAGTGCTCTCTCAGCTATGCGTCTCTTTCAGATTCTCCAGCTCCCCAATAAGTGACCTCAGCACATCATAATGGCACCCGAGCACCTCGGCCCCGAGCCTTTCTCGTCACCCAGAAGTCTGGCTCTACTCTGTGGACTAAATCGTCTCTGGCCGCACCAAAAGAAGAACAAAGGCATGAACCCTGAGCAGATTTAGACTGATGGTTTGGTTAAGGACAGTGGGAGATAAGTGATGGTGTCTGGTGGAGGCAAAACAACGCACCCGACCAGCACGACCATCGTAGAGACGCTAACATAACACTTGTATCGAAGATGCTCTCGGCTAGCCGCCGTGACAACGTGGTTAGTAGCGGCAAGCACACGGGTGCCGACAAAAACAGCTGAAAGCTTTTCAAGCGGTCGTAAAACATCTGGCGCGCGTTGCCTGACTTTTACACTCCACTGAGGTCCAAGAGACTTTTAATGAAGCCATCACTTTATTTACTTCCTGCTCCTTAAGCCAATCAGTCCTTCTTCTACCTGACAACGCCAATTTGACGCCAGCGCTTGCCTCAGTGTGTCCCATTGGGCCACTCACAAGCAATAAACTGAGTGAAGATGCGCAGGAATGAGTGAATGGGGGGCGCACAAACGTGTGATTGAAAATTCAATCGGTACATGTTGGGTATGAAGAAAGCTTACTTATTGTTTGACAAGCTTTTTGAGTGAGCTTTAAGAGTTTTCACCCAGAGTTTGCTTTATATCACCCATCCCATTCGGACTTGAAAATTGATTCGGTGGTTTGGTGTGGTGACTTCAATCTGTTAAGCGATGCCAGCAACGGTCGAACCTATGAAGCGAATACTTGGCTTTCGGGGTTCACCAAGCCCCACCAGAAGTCACGTCCTCCGGACGATAATTTGATCTTTGATCATGAGAATTGATAGTGCTGTCTCCATTTCTTCACATGTATATCAGAGTTGATGTATATTATTTGCTAGGTGCAAATTGGATATAAGCTATATCATAGACAACCAAATTTCGACTGAATGGTTAAAACGTAATATTTTTATCTAGTTTTCTTCTGAAATTTTGGTCAAATCAGCAATTGTTGATCTTTTTTTTTGACCAACATCTTGAAGCCAGCTTACTTGATCTTCAATATTGAAAAATATTAACTTCATATAAAAACAAACACGCATCTTGTACAATGCTACGACACTTCGTGGCATTAATTAGTGCCAGCCCGGGCTCTTGGACGTCGCTGCAGCTAATGCGCGGCGTTGCTTCGATTTGTCTGACTGCAACCGATACTTTGGATCGTTTTGGTAGGCAAATACACGCGAGTCAACGCTTTCGACACGAGCTCGGAGCTCAATCCAATTGCTGTTCGCATGCTTTTTCTTCAAAGCAATAGTATTTGACGCATCAATTGGTTGGATATTCATCTGCGATATTTGCTCGTCAACCTTTGTCGCATTCAAATTGGCAATGCCCTTCTCCTCGGCGATCCTTTTAACCTTTAGCTGCCCTTTACGTTGATCAACTTTATTACAATGTTTGACTACCTTGGCTGGTGACACAGTCAAAGCTTCGAAAATAGATGCCATCAAAGACAAGCGTCTTGGATCTTGGGATGCGCTCACGGGTCCAAATGTGGCGGTGGTCGCAGAGGTGAAGGCAAGACTTTGAATGGACATCGTGAAAATGATGTTTGTTGTAGTCGAGTTCGATACTGACGAAATGGTCAACCTGAATTGATGTATGAGATTTTTTGAACATGAAGCATCCATGGCTACAAACAAAGTTAGTCAATCAAATCACAGTGAGAGTTTCTTACCATGACTGTCAAATATTACTCTACTTACTTCCACATTTAAATTAAGTAAACATTTAGCCTTGTGGAATCCAAAATCTTGGTAATCCCCGACGAAAAAATTCAAGTTTAAAGTCAACTCCTGTGTTCAGATGGATGTTAGCTGTCTCTATTTTACAGAATCGACCATGGGACTTACCAAAGTGTGAAACTCGAAAACACAGTGTGATCACCATCCAAAGCATCATTTTGCATTGAACTAAAGACCATTGCGTCTCTAAAACAAACGCAAGTTGATGTAATGTCATCATTCGACAATTACGTTTAATCACCACCGTCAAAAGAAAAAATGAAACGATTTGTAGTATACCAAACACAACGAGAGGAATAACCGTTGAAATGATGTTTTCTTGTGTGACCTTTGCCAATTCCAAATGATAACGAGCATTCGGTATATGCACCATGAATGCCATGTAGCCACTATAGAACAGTGGCATAAAAGCTTCCAAGTAGGCGGTAGTGACGAGACATTCCGTAGTAAAAAGTATCTGAAGCGATTCCACTAAAATTGTCGAGTGCTTTAAACTAGATTCAGTTTTAAAAGTGGTTGGATAAAGGTCGTTAGGAAGCGATCGTGCACGGAAGCAGCTCAACGGAAAGTTCTTATCCGGAAACGTGCTTGATCTTCTACGACCAGCTTGCTCTTCTGAGCTGCAAATTTGATCCAAGCAGTCGAGCAGAGACTTGTCAGCAGACGAAATCCGAAGTGGAATACAAGATCGTCGTTGTACATTAGTAAACACTTGAGTTCGCAATAGATGCGGGTCACGACAGATGGCGGATATCATGGACAGAATGCTTCCAGTACCGGCACTAACTTGTCCCAGTCTAGCTCGGATAGTGGCTGTGCGACGCTGTAATCCATATAGCATAATTAAAGTCTGGGAAAGATCTGTAATCGTAATAGCCAAAATGGATGATAGTGACGTCGAGCTTTTAATGCTAGTAGCCACGTAGATTGCATTGAAAAAGTCTGCTGTGAAAATAACTTCGACGGGAGCCATATCCTCAAGAGACTTAGCAAAATAAAGCACGAGATTCTTAAGAGCCACTTTAATTACAGGTAATAAAAAAATAACGGGAAGTCGGTAGATTGTTCCTTCTGCAAAGCTGAAGAGTATTTCATAAAGCGGAAATATAAATACTGTCGATGTTTGAGCACAAACGAAACGAAGACATCGTGACACTTGAGCACGATTTGTGAGCATTCCGCTAAAGTCGTGGCGTCCAATTACAAGTCGCACCATAATGATGAGCAATACATAAAATGGAGGTGGTAGTACTAATATCAAAAACGGAATCGGAAAGACACAATTTGCCGCTACGAACATCGTCACTGTAACACAAATTGTTGGCATGATCACGTAAAGCTTAAGTCGTTGAGTTAAAGTAACATGAAAATCGCTGATTAGATACGTAGCTTGTATTAAAAGTGCGTGAGATACGATACCAACGAGTACGGCCTCTCGAATCCACAAACCGTAACTAGCACTCCAACCTTCACTAAGGTCTTGTAATGGAATCAATTCCTGACCAAAGACTAAAGCAACCATGGATAATGGTGTTACTAAACAAATAAAAAGAACCCGATACAATGGCGTATTCTTGCAGTACTCGTCTAACGCAAGCATTCGATGAAAGGAATATTTACCACCGTAATAACTAAGCTGCATACGCCTCCAAAAAAGTAAACATTGAGACGTTGTTGGACACTTTTTTCGCTTACGATACCTATACGCTGCATCAATTCCTGAAGCTGACACCAAACTCGACATCGGTGCGACGGAGGTCATTTCTATAATGGTTTCAAAAACTTTACTGTCAAACAAGTCAAAATAGAACGGATGTCTATAATTGCTAACAAGAACATTGATTGTTAAACTGCATTACGAAGACATAATTAAAATACTGATGTATGTTGAAGAAATATATGTAGAAAATTTAACTTTAATATTACTTCAAAGTAGCTGCTTGAATTTTTTTACAAAAATTTCGCTTTATACTCGAATTTTTAAATGCGATCTTTTCTGGGATCTCTGCTTAACTTACTACAACTTAAGTTTTTGTACATTATCTTCATTCCGCATTCCACCGTGTCTTCTCCATCATGCTTCGACATCTCGGGCCGCTAACTCTGGCTTTAATTGCACTTGCATTCCAGACCGCGTCGTCGTTCGTGCGTGTACCTCTAACGACGATCCCTCGGCAGCGTAGTGCTCAAACTCTGCTACAGTTTCATACGCAAACTAGTGACACCGTGGCGAATGGTATCGAAGAAGAGCATGTACTTAGCAATCTTCGTGCCGCAACCGATGAGTTTTATCGTCACGACGTTCTTCATGATGCGCAAGATCTAGCAGCTCAGGGCCATGTACCTTTGGAGAATTTTATGGAATTTCAATTCTTTGGACCTATCGCCATTGGCTCGCCACCACAGGAGATTTTAGTTTGCTTCGACACTGGTTCGAGTGATTTGTGGGTGCCAGGGATCAAGTGCGAAGCATGTGCCGGTATTGAAAGATATAATCACTCACAATCGAGTACATACTACGAGTCCACGGCTCATCCTGCATTTGCTGTGCAGTACGGCAGTGGTAAAGTCAGCGGCCATTTTGGAGAAGATGTGGTACATTTGGCCGAATTTCAGGTACAAGACATGACTGTTGGAATTGTTAGAACTGAGGAAAAAAGTATGGCAAGGATGAAGGCTGATGGATTGCTAGGATTGGCTTTTGACGGACTCTCGACCTTTTCGCACCCACCACTTTTTTTCGCTTTATTGGAGCAGTATCCGGACCTAGACTCTGTCTTTGCCTTTTACCTTAGTCCAACTCCTAATAGTAACGGATCGCAGCTTCATTTAGGAGGCTATGATGATGAGTTAATGCACTCTCTTCAGGCGACCTGGCAGATGACGGACGTAGTACCGCAGTTTGGTCAATGGACATTTTGGAGAATCCGGCTTCATAGCGTCAAGGTGGGCAAGCATCGCAATGCATGTTTGGATGGCTGCATTGCTTTTGTGGACTCTGGTACGTCACTCATTGGCATACCTGGTACTTTGTACTTGAATTTTTTGTACGAAGTGGCCACGTACGCACAAAATCAAGGGTGCTATTGTGGGTTCGTCCAGTATGGTTTTCAGTGCTTCTTGTGTGCACCCGAAAATTTTCCCCTCCTTCGAGTCGGCGTTGGGGGCGAACACTTTTATGTTCTGGAAGGAACAGATTACACACTTTGTGTTGGACTCACTTGTATAGTCTTGGTACAGCCAAGTGGCCAAGAAATGTGGGTGCTTGGTGATGTATTTATGAAAAAATTCTACTCACTGTACGACGTTAAAAAGAAACAAATTGGCTTCGCTTGTATTGCAAATTCGACGACGTGTGGCAAAGATGTATCGGATCTGAATGAGAATGATATTGGTAATGAACTGGTGCCGAACCAAATGTCGCCATTTTTCGAGAATAGTTTTAATATGTTCGACATGGATACTCATGCTGTGCTAGTGTTATTTCTGTCGGGTCTATCACTAGTTGGCTCGGGCTTAATTGTGTATTCCTTCGTTCAGTTTCCGATCTTACGCACTTTTCGCTCCTTCCCCCTTTTCTTGTGGCTTTCCGTGTGCACTTTGGGCTATAATTTGACTTTGTGGATTGCTGGCGTGTGGCGAGCTCACCAGACACATGTGTTCTTTTGTGCAATTCTAAAAGGCACTCAACAATTTCTAGGAAGCGCAATTTTATTATTTAGTGCTGCAATTGGAGTCGAAATCATTCGTGCAGTGTACTGGACCCGTTTGAGTTCTGTCGAGTTTAAATTCGTATATCACGCCGTGATATGGTGTGTTGCCGCACTCACGGGAGTCTTTTCGTTGCTTACAGGAGTGATTGGGTTCCTACCGGATGGCGCCGGACCATGTCGAGCCTGTTTTGTGGGCCATAGTCCTGCTTGGGCTCGTGTCTTGCTGTTTTACTTGCCAGCAAGCTTGACATTAACTTGTGCCGGTACGGCTGTATTTCTTGCGTACACACGTTCGTCACGCCAACATCTCCCACGTCAGGCCGAACATGCTCGTCGTAGCAGTGGACGCTTATTGTCGAGCTGCGTGGCTACTATCGTCGCTCTCTTTATACCGACACTGTTTGGCTGGCTCCAGCTTCTTGGTACCGACTGGGTCACGTCAGGATTCTTTCTTTATCTGTCGGAGCTGTGTTTTTATTCGCAAGGCTTGCTCAATGCACTCTCGTGGTCGTTTAATCCGTCGTATCGCGTTGCTCGTTACCGCGGCAGTAATGTTTCAGAAGGAGAAGCGAATCAACTCATTGGGCCTAATTGATGTGGTACAGAGGTTTGTTCAGATAATTTTTTTAGTACAAGAGAAAGATGGCTTACAATTATCATTGTACGCACGTGTTAACTCTATATCATATCTATTCTTTACATTGTTGGAAATGCGTCAATTGCTCCATAAAAGTCCCAGAAGTCGTCGCCAAGCAGCTCGAGATTGTCGTCTTCGAGCCAGCTGGCTTGTTGACAGATTAAATTGTCCTCGACTACATAATCAATATGGTCGTTATGACGCACAGGAAGATGTCCACAGCCTGGTCGGTGGGTGTCTTTGGGCAAGGTGCATGAAGCAGGTTCCAAAGCTGACACTGTAGTGGCTGCAGGGTTTCGATGATTTGTACCTAGTCTCTTAACGCTGTCTTGACACACGAGATGATTCTGCACGACGTAATCGCGATGGTTTCCATGTTGTATCGACAAGTGGCCACACGAACGATTGTGAAGCGAGTAGTCAAGCAACGAAGATGTTGGAGTTGGTAGACAAAGTTTGCCGGCAGCACCTTTCAATGCTACAGTTGCAGTCAAACCATTCGTAGTGTCCTCTACGTAAGTCGTCGACGACTCTTCTTGAGAGATATCGCTGGAGCACTTCACAGACAACAATTCTTCACCTTCCACTGGAATAGAAATCGTATTTTCGACCGATACAAGAACGGCCGTATTTGTTTGTTGGTTGGGAGCTGGAACGTCAGTAAGCACACTTGGCGTTATAATGGTTTCCCTTCTCTGGTTTGGAGTCGAGCCGACTGTCGAGTCTGGCGTCAGCATCTGACTTAGTAACATAGAACCAATTAGCTTTGACCCATTCGAGACTGTGTTTTCATCAGGTGGGGGAGGTCGTAACTCGAGATGAGCGGGACAGCAACTCGTTCCGATGGTCGTCAATGGACAATGCGGTGGCAACGCATCTAGGGTGAAAGGCAGCGTCTCTTGCGATAGTAAAAACGCATCCACTGATGAAAGTGCTGCAAGACACGCCGGTGGAGAGTGAATATGCTTTTCCGGACATTTTATCTCATAACAAAGTGATCGTGAAGGCGTATCGATGCACGCAGTTGCCGACGATTTGCGTCGGCTGGTAGAATACGTGGTGTTTGGTTGAGCATCTCTCACGGGCGTTTCCGGCAGTAACACGTCGGGATTTATGGTTGTACCGATTATAGACATAGTGACATCACTTGGACAGTCACAATGTTTATTTTCAGAGTCCAATTTCATTGGCTCGAGTTTGCGCTTCTTGGTCTTGGACTTACGTGCATCTCTTTGATTACTGTGAAGACGCTGGTGCTTGTGAAGATCAAATTTGCGTGCAAAACTGCGATCACATCCCGGGAAAGCACACGCAAATGGTTTCTTACCACTGAACAAAATCAATCAATTTTGATATCTAGATCATGGTTTTTGATAATGAAAAGTTTTACGTACGTGTGAGTGCGTTCATGACTTAATAGGTCCGATCGACGAGCGAAACATTTACCACATCTTTCGTACTTGCAACGATACGGTTTTTCACCGGTGTGCACACGGTAGTGTACCTCCATGTCTGCTTTGCGCAAGAATGTCTTACCACAAAATTTGCACGCAAACTTTTTGTCTCCATTGTGAATATTAGCGTGCCGCTTTAAATTGCCTTTGAGCTGAAATTCACGACCACAGCCTGGAAACGTGCAGCGAAATACTTTTTGCGTGTTAAGATTCGCTGTGATCTTACTTGTCGATATTTTTATCACGGGCTTCAACGTCGAAACATAGTTTTTTGAAGATTGAGAAGTTTTGCTAATTGGTGATGCTGCATCAACGTCTGTATCCAGCACCAGTGCGGCCATGTCGTAAAGCTCGTTCGTTCGTCTGCTTCCTGATTGTGCAATGACATTCAGCCGCGCCTCAGGGTTTTACCGGTAAATACGGTACAATATTCTTTTCGCCGTCGGACAAGAACGACCCTTTAGTTGGAATGCATATAACTGATCAGAATCTCTTAAAATGTTTTCAAATTTGATGCTACAGAGACTAAAGTCAAGCTCAAAAGCAATATATGAAGTTAGGTAGGCTCCAACTTAAACATTGCCGACGACAGCGAAAATTTGACTTCGGGATAGCGACACGTTCAAAGGTTAAAGTAAATTTGAGAAGATACCCAACGTTCAAAAGCTTAAGTATATTTAAGAAGATATCCAACGGTATGAAGTGATTGTAATATCCTAGTTAAGTATATCTTTGTAAAGATAGTATGTAGCAAGTTTCAATCTTGATTGTATGCCAGGCTGTTCACTCACTGCCCGCGCCAAGGTGCTTGTGCTAACTTGTATCAACTCACGATTAGTGGACTGCTCTAGCTTTCTCAAATAATAAGGGAAACTTCACGTTTTGGTAAAAGTTCATTTAAAGACTAGTTACTGAGCTTTGCAGCCGCTACAACTGGCTAGCCTATCTAACTGTTAAAAGCGTGAGCTTAACAACATATCCGTCTCTTTCGCTTCAGAATAGAGCTTCAGACACCTGCCATGTAATGAATGTATTCATGACACAGGGTCTGGCAAGTGCTACAGCAAAGTAGATTTGATTGATTTTTGGCTTAGAGGTAACGTGGTGCAATCTTTGGACGAAATTGAGGCTGATCATAGTATAGCTGTTAAGTACAAGCTTGCCGTGTATGATGGACAACCTTCATCTCACAAGTCACATCATTAAAGTAAGAAACAAAAGGTCAAGTTATCTATACCGTGTCGCAACAACTTATATATCACATGTAGCAAAGATATTTATGTTGAAGAAGACTTTGATTTGCCATACATTGTTTAGTATGGAATGGTCAACATCCTAGCAAGGCATGCTCGACATTAATTATCTCGACGCCCATATAACGATACTCAGTATCCACCCGTTGGAGATGGTCAAATTAATTTTGAATTTTGGCATTAAATGACACGGTTAAATTACGAACTCGGGGTCAGGAGCTCATTCAAATGGTTTGCAGAGTATGGCAAGAGATCGCGTGTTGGAAAGCATACTTGTTGGTTGCAATTTATACATTTCCTTGGAATCTAACTCGTTCGCCATTTAGGCTGGGCACATTCAGACGATATCTGCGCCGCATTGCCGTAACATGTGCTTTAGATTTTGCAATCTGAAATATTAGATTAATTACTTGTCAGCCTTTGAGCTTAAACATCTAAATTTTATCCGCATTTGCACTAAGGTTCTAAGCAAAAGTCTGACCAGTCTTTTCAACTGCGAAGACCTTCATGTTAACGCAGTCAAGTCACAAGTATCAGCCAACCACTAACTCGGAATAGAAGTTCAGCTGTGCCTCAAAATTCCTAATATGTCCCAGGTCAAAATATTGCTCAAAATCTGGTCTGTCAAATCTTGAGAGCTCGAATGAGTTATATATCTGTATAGATGATTTTCAACAGCCATACATCAAACATGCTCAAAATATAGACTTCCGTATTCTTCGGAGGGCTGAGGAGAAAAAGACATAGGTCTAAATGGATCAGACAACTGCTCTATCTAGCAGACATGCTGCGTTCCGCATTAAGGGGTGCAGATTTTGTATTGTGGTAAATGTTCTAACAGGTGGTAAAATGTGGCATCATTTATACTTTCACCGCCTGGCCAAACAGAACACCGATTTTACGTCATAAAATCGACATGAATCATATCCAAATTCTTTTGATCGCTGCAATGGCCTTCAAATTCCACTTTGGTACTACTTTAGTAGCTTCAGATTATCATCAAAACCCGCTCTTTATGAAGACCCCAATGGACTCCATCTCATCAGTCGAAGTAGCTGAGAAAAACAAGAAAGTCCTGCGTGCATCCAAAATTAACAATCAAAAGACAAGCGTCAAGTACAAGTCTGCGCATGAGGAAAGATTTATGTTGGAAACAATTTCACAATTCTTCGCGTACTTTAGGACCAAATTCCCGATATTCGAACTTCTCATACCTCAAGCTCTTACCCTCGAAGAAAAAACCATGGGACAAGCATCAAAGGAGCTTACTTGGCTGCTGATAAAAAACGAATTTGAACCTGGAGTTATCCGAGCGCGAAGTACAACATGTTGGGACTCTAAGAAGTACTTGCGTGAGAATAACCTTAAATCGGATGATAATACTGAACAGAACATTTCGGTGCTCGCTCTTGCGCGTATGGAGTTTGTAATATCTGGATTAAGTGGTTCTATTCGTGAGGATTTTGAGTCTCTTTTTAGTGGAATCGTGTACAATACCGACGCTGTTAAGTATTTTAGACGAGTGATGCGGAAAATAAAAACGAAAGACTACATGAAGTTAGGACTTTCCACCAAATCAGAAGAAAAGAAGGCATTCGAACTACTTGAAAAAGCTTCGTTATATAGCGAAATGCTTGGGATATATTAGGTTGAGTCTCACAAGGGTGTGAACAAAATCGTCGTCGATTTCATTTCCTCAATTTCAGTCGAAACGTAGCTTCTATGATGTAGTGTCGATAAGAATGAGATTGTTTATCTGAGGAATAATGCTTCATAAAAGTTTTTATTCATGCCTTTTTAGCGATATGAAAGTAAGATATATATAACGCTTTGTCGCAATTGTAACTTGTTCTGGGTCTTAGAGCATTAGTCATGAACAAACCTCACTCATACAACTTCACTTCTTACCTCCATGAAGGCCTTCCCAAAGCGATAATAAGGACCTCCAGCGAGTAGTGGAAGTCTACGAATTGCCAGTCGGCAATTTATGGAGATGGAGACTTAGCTTGTGGGTCAAACAGCCGAGACTTTATCAATGGCCAGGGTGATTCTTTAATGAAATCGTCAACGATATCGTCATGCCAAGCCTAATGCGTGTATAAATCAACTTCGTCTTCATCTCGACGATGTCTCAAGGCCCATGGCCTTCTTTACGTCTACCATAGTAGATGCCGCGAGTTCGGAAGCCTGCGCCGCGCCATCCGCTAGAACTTGATTCACAAAACTGTGGTCTGTTTCAAACTGCTTGATACGCTGTCCAATTGGACAAATCCTGGTGTAATCACATTTTAAACCGAACGTTTTCATCAACAAGGAATCACCTTAATTAAAGCTAAAGACGTACTTGGCAATGACAGCATCTGCCACTATATCCTTGAAAACACCAGTACCAAAGTTGGCGTACTGCGCTTCAAGATGCGCTACGCTTTGACCAGTCATAGCACTAGCAAGATCCAATAAATTAGACACACCAGGTCTTGCCTTGCGGTCGTACGAGATCCCAACAATCGCATCTGTCGTGGCCTTACGCACCTTTTTACGAATGTCGTCAGCATTATCCGTCAGTTCAATGCGACTTAATGGCGATGCGTCACTCTTGCTCATTTTCTTGCTTGGATCCCGCAAGTTCATAATGCGTACTAATGATTCTTTGGATACACCCGAACTTGTCGTTTTGGTCTCCATATATGCACGTGGCTTCACAAACACATCCTTTCCATCTTGACAGTTTGACTTAAAGCGGTTATTAAATGTTGTGGCAATCATACGTGTAAGCTCCAAGTGCTGTTGCTGATCTTCTCCAACAGGAACGTGCGTGGCACGATATAGCAAAATATCGGCAGCCATTAGTACAGGATATGCCAATAACCCGAGTGAGCTCTCGTTTTTTGCCATTGATGTCTTTTGTTTATATTGAGTCATTCGCTGGAGCCAACTAAGTGGTGTGATACAACTTAATAACCATGCAAGTTCAGCATGTGCAGCGACATCAGACTGGCGAAAAATAATGTTACGGCTAGGATCCAGACCGGTGCCAAGTAAGGCAGCAACCATAGAATGCACCTGATCAGGCATACGTTCAGCGTTGTATTGTACGGTCAGTGCGTGCAAGTCGACGACTGAATACAGTCGAAGAGTTTTATCCGAAGTACAAGCTGATGCTACGTCATATGTAGCATTTTTTTGCAATGATGTCGCCTCCTGGAGTGCCACCCACTTGGCAATAGCTCCACAATAGTTGCCTAGATGGGGTGTACCTGTGGGCTGAATACCTGAAAATATGCGGCTCTCATATCGATCTGTGCTTGATGTGATAGTCCTGACACTTAATAGACCGTGATGTTGATAAGAGAAGGACGCAACAGTAGCATGTAGACGCCTTGACAACCTGCGCATTTTGTCGATATTCGATCGGAACGACTGGTGTATATGTACACAATAAATTGCTGACTTTTATGCGTATAATTGATCAAGCCGAAAAAAAGGTTAGAGCTTTTGATACATTTTGACTACCCTCAGTTTCTGAGGACTATATTTATGTGTCATTATCGTGAGGGAAACAAACTTGTCCGCATCAACTCTTCGAAAATGAGCGCCAAGGCTAATGATGCGGCTCTACAAATGAATCTCAAGGAGCAGCTTGCGTGGGCTGAAACAGTATGTAAAGTTTAGTGCAATCAAAGGACAAATGAGTTTCATTTCAATGCTTCTCTGTGCTATTTACAGGCGTCTACGAACACGTTACAGCAGTGTCTTAATTCACATGTAATTGGAGCATATCTCGACAGTCATAAGTCCAGAAAACTTGCGTTAGTACTGCTTAAATCTTCTAAGATTGTTGCTTAACATTTGATACTTTTTTGCAGCACGGACAATGACATTGCAAACAAAGAAAATTGTTTAGAGACAATTCAGCGTGGTCGAGAAGCACTGCAAAAGTTTCAGGCTTTACGAGCGCGATCGAATGCTCCAACAAAACTTAATGTCGTTCCGACGCCCCGAATTGCACTTGGTACAGTGATGGAGAATGTGCCGCGAGCTTTGGCTTCTGGCAATTATCAATCAAATTGTCTAATGGAACCGAGAGGTCTCTCAACAGAATTTCAATCTGCAGCAACAGTGTGTAACACTGTCAATTTAGCGCAGGCGACCTTGTCGACGCCAATCAAAAACCCGGCAAATCAAAGATACGAATCTAGTGGAACAAAGAGACAAGTATATTCCACAGGACGACAGACATTGTCTACAAGAGTGGAAGATGATGGTGATAGCGTGTTTAATGATGTGGATGTAGATGCACTAATTGCAAAGCATCAGCGTTCACAACAACAAAAGTGTCATGCTACTCCACAGTTTTCACCAACGCAAGAGGAAAATCCTATATCTCCTCCGTCTTCACAGACTAATGGCTCTCAGGAGGTTGCAAGTGCTAAAATAGTTGATGATGTACGTCAATTAATCAAGCAGACACGAGAGAATCTTCGCAGAGTACGTGAGGAGTGCGATGATGCATCACTCGAGGGAGAAGTACCAGATTTTATGCAAAAACGTCGAATAGAGCTTGAACAGGAATTGGAAAAATTAAGTAGACGATATCGGGAATGCAAAGGTATAGCAACAGCAACTTCGCATTGTGGAAATGCGTCATCTGTGCAACCGGTGAAAATCAATTCGAGTCAAAATAATCCAACATGTTCTTGTGGAATGCTCACTGTGGAAGCCCGAGTGCAGCATGGAGCAAATGCGAATCGGCTTTATTATCGATGTAGTACATGCGGATTTTTCTCCTGGGTGGACTCCACTTTAAGTTCAGGCGGTGACAGCTCTACCGTTCTTAATAACGAAACTTGCGTGCGTGTTATTGACAAGCCATGTGTATCTAATGATCCATCTGTAAACGCTAAAATGCAGCGTGCTAAGCGATTACTTCGCGATGTATTTGGTCATAACTCGTTTCGACCCAATCAGGAACGCACAGTCATGGAGGCTTTTAGTGGACGTGACGTATTTGTATTGATGCCAACTGGAGGTGGCAAGAGTCTTTGCTTCCAACTGCCCGCCTGTATTGATGACGGTGTTACGATTGTCATATCTCCCTTGGTGTCGCTCATTCAAGATCAGGTTCAGCAGCTAGAGGCATTGGACGTCGGTGTTGCAAATTTAAAAGGTGATCAAGACTACGCGACTGAGCAACGGCCCATAATTACAGAACTTTTTTCTAATCATAGTCGAATCAAAATGCTATATGTGACCCCCGAGAAAATTGCATCAAGCAACATGCTCAACAATTTGTTTGAATCGCTTGAGAAGCGCGGATTGTTGGCTCGATTTGTGATCGACGAAGCGCACTGCATCAGTCAATGGGGTCACGATTTTCGAAAAGACTATTTAAATTTGGGTACCCTTCGAGCAAAATTTTCATCGGTGCGTCATTGCGATTTCAACAAAATTTTTAGGATATTTACGTTGCATGTATTATGTTTTGCTTGCAGGTCCCAATTATGGCTTTGACTGCAACAGCTAATACACAAACAGAGGCAGATATTGTCAAAAACTTAAAATTGAGAAATCCGTTTGTCACACGATCAAGTTTCAATCGGTGCGTTCGCACGCAATGCACCAAGGCTAAAAAAACTAACTTTTTCGGTTTGTGCCCGCGATTTATAGGCCTAATTTAACCTACGATGTGCGTAGAAAGACGTCCAAATTTATGAATGAGATTGCAGACTATGTTCGAAAGCACATCGACGATTCAGGAATCATCTACTGGTAAACTTAATTCTTAATCTAGTGCAATTGAGTGAGTTTGTCATTGTAACTTCTGCCCTGTTACCTTGAACAGTTTATCGAAGAAAGATTGCGAACAAACAGCAGAAAAACTGATCAAGGCCTTGGGTTTTGAGCAAACTCGAAAAGCAAATCAAATATCTTTTTATCATGCGGGACTTGAACCGGAAGATCGCGCTTACCGCCATCACGAATGGAGCAAAGGAAGTATCAAGCTCATTTGCGCTACTGTAGCCTTTGGAATGGGAATTAACAAGCCTGACGTGCGATACGTTATCCATCATACCATCCCTCAATCTGTGACGCATTACTATCAGGTACGGTGGATCTTTGCAAATATATTTCGAGTTGAAGTAACTAAGCTAGTTGTGCAGGAAGCTGGTCGAGCGGGACGCGATGGAGAAGTGGCTAATTGCATTCTTTACTATTCCTTCATGGATTTGGTACGTACAATATAAACTCTTTACTCTTGCCCTGTGCTGACTTTGAGATGTATTGGAAAGACTCGACGACGTAAACTGATCACAAAAGATCGCGACAACATTCAACATCGTAATGTGCACCTGCAGAACCTTCGACGCATGACCCAATTCTGTGAGAACCAGGTGGAGTGCCGTCGAACATCTCTCCTGGAGTATTTTGGTGAGCACTTTTTGGATGAACAATGTCACGGAACTTGCGATAATTGTAAGAACAAGGCGCTGGGAATTACGTTTGAAAAGACGGATGTGACAGATGACTGCTTGGCTCTCGTTAAAATGGGTACGTTCTGTGATAAATAAAGTCTGATATGCGTTTTCACTCGTTCGTTGTCAGTTAAAACTCTTGAAGAAAGCAATGATCCGACGACGCTCGTTCAAATTGCTCATATTTATCTCGGTATGGTGGTCAAAGGTAGAGAGTGGAAGCAGTACCAGATGGCGCAACTCGAGGGGTTCGGAAAAGGAAAAGGACGCTACTCTCGTAGCGAAGCAGAGCGCATTTTGTATCACATGATTCTTCGGCAGTATCTGTGTGAAAAGGTGAGCACTTTGCTACATGAACACAATTGTTGGCGATGAAATAATGCTATATTTTTAGGATCAAACGAATGTCAAAGGCTTTACAACGACATTCTTGTCTCCGGGACAGAATGCTAATCGACTTATGCGTGGTGAGCGAGTTCGAATTGTATGCAAGACGAAGTACCAAGCGCGTGCATCTGTTAGTGATGGTGTCCCACAAGAGAGTGCCAATTCTTCGAGAAAAAAGGCCCCTAAAAAACCTGCTTCCAAAAAATCTGAATCAAAAACATCTACTCAAAAGAAAAGATCAAAAAAATTGAGTGCAAAGAACGTGGTCGAAGATTTGAGTGATAGCTGCGATGACGATGTCGTGGAAGTCGTCGCGCCACCCTTGACAAGTACAGAGTATCCACTTATTCCAGAACGCGTATCTTCGAAAAGGTTAGTGTCGTGTTTAGTATTTGTTGTGCAGAACCTTATTCTTATACGTCTTCCATTTTGATTAAAGAATTCCCGAAAACCACGTCGAAGCGCTAGCTCAGATCCTAAAAGATTGGCGTGCAAGCGTGTGTGACAGCCAGAATCTCATGCCATACCATATCCTTACAACTGGCGGTATTGCTTCAATCGCCAATTCGGTCCCAGTGTCAAACGCAGAGCTGCTAGAAATTGATGGCGTTGGACGCATTCGAGTGAAGAAGTATGGGTCAGCGATCATAGAAATTGTCAAGACATATTTAGAAAAGGTACGCTGATACTACTGATACTGATGACATCTTTTGCGGTTTATCTTGTTTACCACATGCATGTTTGATTTTGTAGAACAACTTGACTCCATTACCAGTGCAATCAGGGCGCCCAAACAACGCGCTTGGCTTGGAACAATTTGATTCTGACGTCGAGATTGTCGAAGCACCTGCAGCATCCAAATCATCACCATTTTTTCAAGAAAAGAATAAATTGAAAGCTACAGTGTCAACAAGACCGAATACAAGCGTTAAACATCCTGTCATCGATAATGACGTCGATGACATCGATTGGAATGCATTGGATGCCGATATTTTAAATCAAACGAGCTCAGTAAGTGCATTGAATAATCGTAAACGTTCGTTAGACCATTCAACGTCTACGTGGGATGCAAAGAAGCGAAGTAACGTATCGTAAATATTTAAATGGTGTCGTATTTTTTTGCATTCATAGCACAATATTGTCAATTAATCGACAATTACCGATTTTAACAGCAACAGAAACGATAGCTCCTTCTGTTGTATCAACTATTGACATCTCGCGCATCGTTTGCTTCGATCCCACAGACACATAATCAATGGTAGTGACTAGTGGTTCCGATTCCAATTCCTTATAAACAACAGTATAGAGTGCCTTTGTCTCAATCGTTTCTTTACCTTCTTCTTTTGCTTTCTGGAACAAATGTTGTGCACGTACGAGACCTCGGTATAATACACTGGCTGCTTTACGCTCAACAGGTGACAGATATTGGTTACGCGTTGACAGAGCTAGACCATCGGCTTCACGCACGATAGGAACAACGTTGATTTTTACGGACATATTTAAATCCGAGACCAATCGTTTGATGAGCACGACTTGAGCCGCATCTTTTTGACCAAAAAATGCGTGCGTGGGCTGCACAATGTTGAAGAGCTTTGTGACAATAGTAGCGACGCCACGAAAGTGACCTTGACGACACTTTCCCTCAACCAAATCATCAAATCCACTTGGAACTACGTAGCAGCAATGATGCGGCATGTACATTTCATCAGCTGAAGGTAAAAAGACGAAATCGACACCAAGTTTCGTTAGTAGTGCAATGTCTTTTTCAAATGTCCGGGGGTACTTGGAATAGTCTTCACTTGGACCAAATTGCGTCGGGTTTACGAAGATACTGGCGGCGATAAAGTCACATGAATTACGTGCATGCTCTACCAATGCCATGTGACCATCGTGAAGACCCTACACGAAACGAAGTTATTCTTCATATCAAGTAAATGTCATAAGTGACTATTGACGAACCCCCATGGTGGGTACAAACCCCAGTGTTGCATCTCGAGGTATCGCATGTCGCGCTTTACGAAATGTTTTTATACTTTCGAGGATCTGCAGTTGATTTGCGGAGATAGAGGAGAAGGAGCGATTCGCAAGCGCGAATGCAGGTCGCGCTAATAAAGGACGAAACATTAGTTGATACTAACAATACATTTTTCAAAATTGGGTGGCCTACACAACTAGAAAACACATGGTTTTTCAGCGTTTGATTGTAATATGTGCGTCACGGTTTTGCGCTAGCAAAAGAATCCCCAAACCTAAGGCCAGTGCAATATGATCAACTCCATACAGTACGTTGGTTGAAGTTCGCAATGATATAATATACGTTGTAAGTTCCTTCAAGAGTACCACTATTTTCTGTCTTGTCTGACGCAGCAAGTTCTTGTCAACAGAGCCGAACGTTGCAGATGTCGCAATTCTGGATCGCTGTAGAATGATACCTTACCAACTCTTGGATCATAGCTTGGATGTAGAGCAAGATCCAACCTCTAATGTCGAGACATCAGACCTCAGTTCATCTCGTTTTGATCGTATCAAGTACAATCCATTGCAATGTACTTGAGATGAAAAAATCTTCGTCTTGCCATGTAGATTCAGTATCCCGTCGTCTCGTTTGCTCTTATGTAGCATACACAATGATGGGTCACGACGTGGATGGGACGACAGTATCGTCGCGATCGCCGCGGCGCGCGCTCTCTGCGCCGTCCGTAGCTGTGCCAAGTAGCCTGGAACAATCTTTTTAAGCCTTAAAATCGGATTCACGCTTCCCCTTCATTATGGCAGCGTTGTCCAACGCCTCAGTGCGCGATAAACGCATCAAAGTGTGCGTCCGCTTACGCCCCTTTACGCGCACCGAGAAACTCAAGGCTGGTGGAAAAGCGGCCTGGACATGGTACGTACCGCACAAATGTACCTAGTCGTCTAATCTTAAGTGACTCATGTATCGAAAATAGGCATGAAAATACTATTTATCAGCAGATTTTCCCCGCCCAGATCCCATCGCGTGTAGCTACGAGCGATGGCGAAGAGAAAAGAATACGCAGCGGTGGCTCGACAGCATCGTCTCGAAACATGACGCTACAAACTACAACATCAAAACTACCATCTACGTATACGTTTGACCATTTGTACCCTCCAGCATCTCCAACACAATCGGTGTATCAAGAAACTGTGAAAGTAAGACAGAACTCAGTATTCAGTATCTCAATATGGATACTTTTCAGCACTTGACATGAAAAGGAAATGTTGTTTTAACGACATGATTTGAATTCCTTTAGGATGTCATTATGGCAGCAATGGACGGGTACCATTCGTCTGTCTTCCTATACGGCCAGACAGGCACGGGAAAGACGTATACAATGCAGGTGCAGTAATACTTCAAATGGGTACCAACCGGCTCTTTGTGCTGACTTGTAACCTTTTTCATCAGGGTGGACGTGGCGACCCTGGTCTCATTCAATTAAGTGTTCAAGACATTTTTGATCACATTACACGCCATTCAAGCATGGAATTTTTATTGCGCTTTTCATATCTCGAGATATACAATGAGCAAATTTATGATTTGCTTGCAGCAGGCGCAAAATCAGACATTAAGATCTACGATGTGCACAATCGAACAGCAAAAGCAAACGACTTTTCTAATCAGGAATTTCATACTAAAGACGTTGTGATTCGAGGGGTACAAGAGGAAATTGTTCTGTCAATGGAGCATATTCTCTCGCTTGTAGAAGTCGGGAATCTACATCGTCATATGGCTGTGACTGAATCCAACGACCAATCCTCGAGATCTCACGTTGTGTTTCGATTGGTAAAGTGATGATCATTTTGTAGCAACAGTGATTTAAACTCATATGAATGCTGTGGTTTGTAATGTTATTCAGGTGATTGAGAGTCAAGCAAAACGAAGTAGTCGAGATCGTGACGATGTAGCACCTGTACGTTCAGCAACGCTAAACATTATTGATCTTGCCGGTTCAGAGAGTGTACGATTAGCCAACACAACTGGACAAGCATTAGAAGAAGGCAAATATATCAATCGCAGTTTACTAACTCTCGGTCACATCATTTGGAAACTCAGTCGTGACCAACATCGAACAGCTTCAAGTGGCACAAAACCAGCAATTTCTACTCATTTACCATATCGCAATTCAAAGCTCACGCGTATTCTTCAACCTTCATTAAGTGGACAAGCACAAATTGCTATTGTCTGTACAGCTTCACCTTCTGTTGAATGTCTAGCAGAAACACACAACACACTGAAATTCGCAAGTCGTGCACGAAGAGTACGGAATCGCGTGGTTGTTAATGAAACTTTGGGTGAGTTTGCTTTGCTAAAAAGGTATCGGGCTCGTATTCAAGAGCTAGAAGAGCAACTTGCCCAATTACAAAATCAACGAAGACCAAAAAGCTCAGTAAAGTCAACTCAGTCGCCACTTCATGAGCGTCAAATGGAACTCAAATTTGCGATAAATAATATCAATCGGGTCATTTTAAACTCGTCACAAGCACACGAGCGACATCATGAAGAAGAAATTGCGACTGTAGACAATGACATGCGTTCTGTTACGAACGCATTGCAAGAGACTCAACACAGTGACGTTAATGCGACTCAAGGTGAGCAAAATTCACCGCCACAACCGATTGAAGCTCGACAACCTCGTGAGATGGAGCATCAGACATCTCGGACACAATCCAGAATCGCAACTCGTCCACTGCTTCGACGTGAACCGATCCACAGTATTGGTAGTGAAAGAGAGACTGATCAATTGCCTGAAGAGAAGAATCCAGGTGTCCGACCACGTCTTGTTCATTCTGGTAGCTCTGCAAATACGTCAAGCAAGACACTTATTGGTAGTGGTGGTAGTGCAAGTACTAAAACATTACCACTCTCGACTTCATCATCTCGTCATCTTATGGACAATGAAGATGATTTGGTTGAAACGAAAGAAGAATATGAAGAATGTGAACCAGAACAGGAAGAGGAGGTAGAGCATAGAAGTTCAAATAATGGAGAAAGTTGTCCGATCTCACAATCTAGTAACCGGCCGTCACTCACAGCGATGCTCAAGAATAAATATCTTGACGAGTTATCGAAGATGGAGCAGCGCATTGGTAGATGGCAACGCACAGAAGAAAGTGAATTATTTAGCCAAAAAGAACTACTGCGTGAATTTGTACGTGGTCTTGAAATCGCTCTCGCTGAACAAGAGACGCGTATGAGCAAAATTCGAGAACTAGAGTTTGAAAATCGTCAATTACGTCAAACTATGGCCACACGCGAAAACGAGATATCGCGATGAAGAGATGAAAAGTGTTTTGCAGACTCAGTTACGATAGACACGGCCGATAAAAACACTGCGACACTTGAATGAGGATAGAGAAAATAGATTGTAGAAGAGAGATTTATAGCAGTGAATAGACGTATCTTACATTTAGATCAGGTAACCAACAGGACTCGATTTGTAGCTTTCATTTGGCCTACGAGGACGAAGTGACACAAAATTTTGACCGAGTTTCTCCGGCGATGAAGAGCAGAAAGCAGATCAATTCTCAATACTAATGGAGATCTGCACTATTGCCCTCGTGAAACTCAAAGAGTTTCTAACCAACATCAATAGGATATAAAAGAACAAAACATTCTATTCTTAATAATGAACATGTAAGAAAAGTCGAAAATATCAATAGCTTTGTCGAATCAATCGGAACAGCACAGATTTAGTCTTTTTTGCCACGTAGAAGCCAATCAGCATAATAATCCGCGAAACTCTTTCGTAAGCGTTTAAAGTTGTCAGTGTTGAAGTCATCCATCGCCACGAGATGTTTTGCATCAAAAAGATTCTCTGGTGTCTTGTTGAGTTTAATCCAAATGTCAAAAACTTCTGACTGAAGTCTTTCAGCTATTAACTTGACATCAGGAACGTCCTTGACTTGTTCAAAGCTTGCGCCGTGATTTAAATTCAAATGTGAACTATCTTTTACCTCTACGTCGAAAATATACCCCGCCTCTTCATATTTGAGATCTTCCAACTTAACAATACAATTGTTTTTCGCCTCGAGCATATTAATGTATCGAAGCCATTGGATCAGTGGAGAAATTCCGGTCTTTGTCGTCTCCTTTTCTATCTTCTCAAACACATGACCTGCCGACACATCATTCGCCAGCCACACCTGATTTTGGTGTTGTCGGGCTACACTCACCATTTCGTCAGCAAATTTCTCTAGACCCGGAACTTCTTGAACTGAGTAAAACAACGATACCATACTGTCGACAGAAACCTTCGGTGTTACCACGTCAATGACCATCTGCCAAAGTGACTCATCACGAATTAAGATGGAATTTCCATCTTGATCTCTAGCCACAACAGGGTAAGATTGGCAATATCGAAGCCACTGAAGAAATGCAGGATTTGGTCCTTCGATTGAAACGTGGATTGAGTTTGCAAGTTTTTGTGGAGTCAAAGGCGTCTTTGATTTCTGGATCTCGTTGATTAAGCGTTCCTGTGCATCAATTTTCCCTAGCTCGCCTCCAATTTTAGCTACCATCGGTTGTGTTTTCACCCATTCATATATATTCACAAGGTCCTTTTCTAAATGCTTTTGCTTCAGTGAATCGTGAATCGAGTACAAAACTTTCTGAGTCGCAATCTTATCGTCTTCAATCATATTTTCACTGGACGATACGAGCTCTTCAAGTCGTTTGACAAACGACTGAGTGTACGGCTCAGCATTTTGCCAGTCGATGGTTGTTATCGATATTTCTTGGACATTTGGCTGCACGATATTCATCTTGTTGTTTGCAGACCTGAGTTGTATATGTGCAAGCATGCTGTCAGCAAGACTGCAGATTTTGCTCATGTTTAAGCTCTTGGAATAAATCGTGAAGCTGTTCTTCCGTCTGAAATTGTTTAAGCAAGTTATAAAGTCTTGTATCGGTCCATTGATTATGGTTTTGAGTGCGTCGTTGCTCAGCTAAATATTGAAACCACTTGCGAACTGGTTCATTCTTGCTCCAGTCTCCACTTACTTTTGAGAATTGAAAGAAGTGAAACAAATCTTCTAGATCGACATTTAAAATGTGTGCTGATACAGAACTCACATCAGAAGCCAACGGCTCTAAAATACGCGCTTCGCTGCTCTGATCGTCGATAGCGTTCGTGCTATTTCTTAAAATCGTCACGTTCTTACTTACATCTAGTAAGTGATTCTTGGAGAGATTTGTGCTGACTTGATTATGGTCTTGAGATTCTTCTCCATGCACGCTGAGCGCAGATAGCAACAGACACGACCACGTGGGTATCCACATAACTATTTTATGAATAAAGTAGGGGGGTTGAGAACCAACAGGATAGGTTATCTATCATGGAATTTTTTATGTGATGGGTTACATCTAGCAGCTGAGTATTATAGGTTTAAAATAGTATTTTTGGAATTTTTAATGGTATTTTGATTGCTACTTTAATATTTAACAGCTAAAATTTTAACTGTTGGGCTTAAAACTGCATTTTTTAGCAGTCATTGAAACCGTATGTAATAAAAGTTTGAATCGTCACACAATTATGTCACTTTCGTATAAGAGAGCGATATATTTCAATTAAATACTACAAAACATCTGAAGGAGTTTCAAATCGCTGATGCTACCTAGTAAACGTGTTTTCTTCAATAATTCATGCTAATGATATATCGTGCAAGTAAGCTACAGGTTGTTATACGCTTAGTGGAGTCACATAATTTGGGACACATATATTTTGAAATACTGTCGACTTTAAAATATTTGATTGTTTTACAATTTTTCGATAAACGCTGTATATCCTGCATGACGTCAGCACATGTCCCACAAACTGCGTAATGTCAGACTCGGCTTATAACGCTCTTCTGTTCTGCACCGTCGTGTCTTTTGGCTTCATCTCCATGCGATACAGTTCCTTTCAATTGTACTTTTTCATCTATTCTGTGTGATATTTGTGCAAACGAATAAAGATGGAGTATAACACCAATTAATGCATTACTTAAGACAATATTTGCATTGTAACTTTTACACTACTTTCATCATTAAAAGTAGCGTTTTGTCTAGCTGCATTCGTCAATGATCTGAACAATTTCGCGACGTTTTGTTCGTATTGAGCGCCAATGAACATTTTCTTCTAAGTAATGTGCACTTTGCATCTCGCGCAATCGTGATACAGTCCTTTGAAACGCAATTTTCAAATCTTTTAAAGCAACGAGACTCCCAACATGATATTCTCCAAATTCATGGGTACCACTAGAGGTAATAGGCCCATCCACAATTCCATTCTCTTTGTTCACATTGTGTGTTTCATTCTCCATAGTATTGGAATCATTTTCATCATTAGATGCGTTCAAAACACTTTTATCATCAAATTGAAATATTCCATTCGGATCAGCAGCTTCTGATGAGAGAATTAGTCGCGTTCGATGTTCATATAATTCATCAATAAGGAGAATGAATCGCCGTACTTGATCATGTTGTGCCATGTTTAAAATTGGTACATTGTCAAGCACTAAAGTATGAAAACACTCTGCTATTGCTTTATAGTCAGCTGCTCCTTTTTCCGTATCACATAATTGACGAAAAGATACACGACAAACACCACTTTTAACACAACCTTGAATCGTAAGAATACGTCCAAGCATAACTGGAACACGCAAATTCTTGTTTTGTTGATTAAACTCTTTCTTCACACTGTCTTGATCACTTGATATGAGTAATTTTTGATATATTGCATCCATTTTTTCTGCTATTGTCATCGTTAAAGGAGACAAAAAAGTTTCGTCGCGATTAACAGGTTCGTAAAGGAATCGATAGTCAACATTTGACTCCATCGATACGATTCTTGTATGTCGATTTAATTGATTTAAAAAAGGTAGAAAATAGTCTCGATTTGTGCCTTCCTTGTATAAATCCTAAATTTTACAATATTAGCAATCATTTGTACTAAAGTCACCAAAAAAATCAATTTACCTTTGGAGCGGTATTTGATGTAGCAACCATAACAATACCACGCTCAAACATGACACCAAAGAGTTTTCGCATAATCAAAGCATCAGCTACATTTGTAACTTGAAATTCATCAAAACATAAAAAATGACATTCTTCAGCAATAATGTGTGCCACTTGATAAATCACATCATGTGTTTTGTCCAATTGAATGTGTCTCTGTCGACCATAAAGGTCTAAATGTTTCTTTTTCTCGTCATTTAAACGTGCTTGTACCTCAAGCATAAATGTGTTAAAATGCACACGACGCTTACGTTGTACATTAGCACAGCGATAGAAAAGATCAAGCAACATCGATTTGCCAGTTCCCACGCCTCCGTGAATGTAAAGACCTCGTGGAATTGTAATTGCTTGTTCATGTCTTAATTCTTTAACGTCGGGATTCGTTGGGATCTTGTAATTATTTAAACGAAAATACAATGGATCAAAGTACCGACGAGTGAGAGCTGCTTGCTTTGTATCGAGAGTTAAATCCCCACGACTTACTAACGCATAATAAGCTTCCGATGGTTTGGTAGAATAGAGTCGAGAGGGAGTGAACCATCGTGTATGTCGAAGCATCGACAAAAAGTGTAGGATAATAAAAGACAAAGTGAAAAAATTCCAAATACAATTGACAATTTTATGATACAACTTAATTTTTTAATGAAAAAATTAACGAAAAGATTGATGCATATCGTGAAATTCTGCGATTGGAATTTGATATTGAGGACATTCTTGAGTTGAGATCGAATCTGGATTCCAATTGACATTGAATAATGAATTTGTTGATGCTTGAGTGAAGATATCATAAGGATTTGTAGCTACTGATGTTGAAGGAATCGAAATGTCCTGTAAAGTAGCAAACACTGACGTTTCTTCATGAAGATTCGAAGGAGTAGGTTCTGACACTCCAAATGTACAATTCGGCATCTCCTTTTCAAATGGTTGTGAACCAAAGGCATCCCAATTGTCTTCAACATTCAATTCTTTATGACGTTTTGTTTCTCCCACAAATTCATCAAACGAAACTTTCCGAACTGTCGATGAAGATGTCATTGCTTGTAAAATGACTTCGGATCCAACAAGAGAACCATTCGAAACGACATTTGTAAATTGAGTTAACACTCCATCTTCACATTCTTCGTCATGATGATCATTTAATATACGTAAACGATCTGTAGCTTCGTATATACGTTCTGCATATACTACACGTCCACGTAAGATCCGATGTAACAAAGGTGCTAATGCTGCATCGCGAGAAGTCACAAATGCACGAAGGTTACGAATGACAATATCCGATAAACGTGTATATTCTTGAGTCGAAGCAGCCAGTTTTTGTTCATTTCGTACTAATCGTTCAGTCTCTTTTGTTTTTTCCAATTTGCCCATAGTCATTCGTTTTTCATGGATCTCACGTAATCCCGTAACTTTCCGTGCATAATGATCATACAAAGCTTTTTGTTCTTGAAACTTTGTGGCTTCTTGTTGTAACTGACGCGCATATTGTAGCCATCCTTTAACAGGAAGTAAAACTTCATTTTCAAGTTGATGAGATACTTCTTGAAGCACAATTTGATCCACTTCATTACATGCTATAAAAGCTTGATTAGCATACGATTGCATTGATGAAACTTCATTTGATTGTTGTTGATAACTAGCAGTTCCAGAACCACTAGATGCAAGACTATCAATTGAACCAAATACAGAACTTGCTGAAGTATGAAATGTCTTAAGTGAAGTCGCATAAGTTTTTAATGCAACGTCAAAAGTTATTAAACGTTGAAGAGTTGATTCAAAGTCGGAATACGCGAGATCATATGCTACATTTGTACTTGGTTTCGACGCACCAAAAGCTGTAAGTAATTTATTTGTTGTACGGACACGAAAGGATGACATTGGAAAATCGGGGCACTTTGATTTGACCAGAAGAGAAAATGAATGTAGTGAGATAGAAGAAATTTAGATTTATTTATAGTCTTGTTTAATCGAAGACGACAAGACTAAAAATACCGGTAGGAACAGTAATGTATTACTGAATAATCTGATTCGCATATGCTGGTTGATAGTGAAGAAATTCTTGGACGCACGCATTCTCTACTGAACAACTCTGCGTACATGAATAAACAACAAGTGTACCCCATTCACAACTACGCGATGTGATAGCACCAAGAGAACTCTCGTTGTCCACATTTAAATAATTTAAAAGTTGTGGAAGTATTTGAAATTCAAACTTTCGCTCACTTCCACACATTTCACAAGGTGGAACATTGCCATTGACCATTCCTTTAGAATGTACCCATAAGACAGCATCATTCCAGCGAGAGTAACGTAATACTTGATCTTTTGAAAGTGCAATTCGCGTAAGAAAGCGTACATATTGAGGATCGTGATCAGTTGAATGGCCAAGTGCTTCGTTTAACTCTCGCTGAGTGACATTCATGTCCATTTTATCTTCTTCGACGTCTTTAGCTTGACAATACAAGATGTTAGTTTTCAATATTTTCCACCAATTAAAATATCTTACTTTGTTCAAAATCCGCCAATAATTTGGCTTCATACTCATTCATAACCTCTGAAGTATCTGGTTCATGGTCAATTTCTAAATAATGTTCCGGAAAGACCCATTTTGACCCTTGAGTAATCATTTTTTCTCTTGCTTCGTCACATTCAGTATAACTTTGCGTCTCGAGGCTACAAGTAACCATTTGAATTAATTCAAGGTTATCAAAATGTCAAAAGTTGGAACTTACCATTGTGAACATGTCCGATTGTGTCCACCAACCGTCCAATGATCCTTTTGATGCTCTTTACTGCAATACTGCGCCACGTGACATGCACTACATGTAAATAACGCACGTTGTCCACAAAGTGCACAAAAATCTCGTTTCTTTCCATTAGGTTTTAATTCCATAGATCCACCAGTTGGAGCATAAAATTCATTGTCCTTCGGCAATTGTAGACGAAAAGCTTTGCCGTCTCCCTGACGTTTGCAATTTGAGCGACATACAAACACGTACAAACTGCGATGAAAAGCGTCTTTAACATCATCAAGTGGACAATAAATTTGCAGCAAGAATGACAAGGGAGTAAAGCAGTCAATACATTGCAATTGCTCGGTGGTTGGAATACTTGAGATAGATGGAATCAACCAACTTGGTCTTCCACCAACTTGACCGCCATCCCATTTCGTCCAATCTGGTTCACAATACATTGGCGTTGCGTTCATTGGCACACGATCTTCAGAGATAAATCCTAATTCCACATCAGCTTCCACTTCGTAGTCCGAGACATCATCATCTGAGTCGCTCATTATTGTATGTCATTCTAGCCAATAAGTTATTGTTACGTGGTATACACTACTATAGGTCACTACGATTTCATGATTCCAAAGACTCTCGTGGTAGCTGGTGCAGGCGTTGTAGGTCTTGCAATTGCACGAACAGCAGCTTGTCGAGGATTACAAGTATTTGTTCTTGAGAAAAATGCCTTTGTGGGACAGGAGACAAGTGCACGCAATAGTGAAGTTGTCCATGGTAAGAATACGTGGTGATGAAAATAGTGTAATATACTTAAATTGAGTTGAAATTGGAAAACAGCGGGTATCTACTACACTAAAGAGAGCTGGAAAGCTCGACTCTGTATCAAAGGACGAGAACAACTCTATGCTTTCTGTGATGAATATAATGTACCGTATCTCAAGTGTGGCAAACTCATTGTAGCTCACTCGCATCAATTGAAGCAACTGCGAGCGATTCTCAAACGTGGACTAGCAAATGGTGTCACTGACTTAAAGCTTTTGACACAAACTGAAGCACGTGCTATTGAACCATTTGTAAACTGTGACGAGGCAATATTCTCACCTTCAACGGGTATTGTTGACTCTTATGGATTTATGATGGTATTACAAAGTGAGGCAGAAAATTATGGTGCTGTTGTGGTACCGAGGACAAAAGTCCAAAGCGGGTTGTTCAATTCAAAATCGAAAACATTTTTGATTCAAGCAGTACAAGGAGGTGACAATGACATACAAGAGGTAGAATGTGACTATTTTGTTAATGCTATTGGTATGTTTGCACCGACTTTACTGGACAAAGTCGTTGTATCGGATCGAGAGATTTTCAAGTTTAAAAAACCTACTCTTCCGGATCTCTTTGCGAAAGGAACGTACTTGAAACTTCGCGAAACGAATCGTCCATTCACGTGAGTAGTGTCACTTTATCTGGTTGGTTAAGATGCCATTTGAAAGCAGTATTTCATGATGTAGCCATCTAATATACCCGATTCCTGAGGTTGGTGGACTTGGTGTACACGCAACAATTGATCTGACTGGAAATGTTCGCTTTGGTCCTGATGTTGAATGGATCAATGAAATTGAGTATCGACCAAATCCTTTGAAAGCCGACAAATTTGCTGATAGAATTCGTGATTATTGGCCGGATATTCATGCTGACATGTTAAACGCTGACTATTGTGGTATTCGACCGAAAATTGCAATTGATGGCAAAATTTTGGAAGATTTTTACATTGCGGTAAGAAAGTTTTGAGTTTATTAAAATTAAATCTTAAAAATGATGTGATGTCAGGATAAGTATACACACCGCATTCCAGGCCTTGTGCATCTATGTGGTATCGAATCGCCTGGACTAACTGCCTCACTTGCTATTGCCGACACAGTTGTCAATATGTTGCAAGATAGCGATGTGAACTCTCCATCTATTCATTACCAGCTATAATTTTTTTTAAATTTTCTCTATCAATTATACAGCATATTCTACGTTTCTTGTCATATTCTCTTTGTGAGGTGAACTCTCGCTATCGTCATCATTCCAATCATCAGCAAGTTTTTTTGTCTTAAAAATATCATCAAGGGATTCATCATCATCTTCAAGCAGTCCCAGTCCAATTAAAGTATCTCTTTCATTACGTAAATGACGCATTGCAAAAAGATATGTCATGAGATATCCACAAATACTTGCAAGACTTAGATAAAAAGCTGTACCAAAGTAATTTCCTTCATGATGTAGGATGTGGGTAAGAAACTTCCATACGCCTACTAATGCAAATTGTAAGCTGGAAACAATTAAAGATGTCATGGCACCACTATGTACAATACGCGATTCAAATGTGTCAAAACTAACGCCAAACAACAATAAAAGAATCGTCAAGACCGAGAATACAAATGTTATGCCAGATAACGTAGCAATCGCGAGCCCTGGAGTTCCACACATATCTGGTAAGAAATGACGAAGCCAATCTGTTACTTGCTGTCGCTCATACGGTGACGTATGGACAGTTCCACGTGCTTGATCTTCATCCCATGCGACTAAAAGCATATCAACCGGTTCATCTGCAGCACAGAGACTGCTAGTAGAAATCCGATCAGAACGTGAGCATTTTCCATCCGAAAACCCATGTAGAGTCTCACAATGGATACCTACTACACCTTCTTGATAGAAAGATGCACAAGTTAAAGTTGCTTCGAGTGCTTTCAATTGTGTCTCGTTAGATGGTGTAAGCAAAGTGCTGAAAGAGTCACTAACAGATCGATTTTGAATCATCACACACGTGCCCCAGATTCCAAATACAACTTCTAAATTTGCACTGAGTTCGCCATCACTTCCATGATTGAAGATAGTAATTTCTGACCAATATGGTAGTAAAAGACTCGACAAGGAAAGTAGTCCAGCGATTATGGAACATGCCACCGCTTGATATCATGATCATAAACAAGAATCAGTAACCAACGTTGTCATGTTCTGGTATATATATGCCTTTGAAAAACGTACCCATGGCTCCGAGTCGAGAGCACCCCATGAAAGGCTCGCAGACTTTGCCTTGTTCCGAGATAAGTTAAGGTTCGGTATTATAACGATGGCCAAATTTACATTGTCGAAACGCCATTCAGTATAAAATTCGTTAACAACTACATCGTATATATGTTTCAATTCAATAATCTGACGGTTTGTGAAGCACAAGATTCACATAGAAAGAAAGAAAAGCATGTAAAGGTAAAGCATCGAATATTAAAGAAAAAAATGGAAAGGACAATCACTTATTATTGATAACTCATTCATGCCTCGTCGCACACTACGTTTTTAAAAAAATGCAATCGAGAAGATATTTTTAAGCACGTCGCGATTAGACGATATGAACATATACAAGCAGACAGTGCGTGTAAAATCAACAGAGTTGTCACGTTTTGTGATTTGGAGTTTGATTGCTAAAGAGATTGTGTACATAAACTTGTTAATCAGAAATCTGCCAGATGACAAGCTAACGAGAGCAAATTAATATTGTGGAAATGTAATTGATGACTTCGATTTTACTCTGTTCATCTAACAATGATGTTGTGCGATCTTCAATTTATCAGCTTCACAGATCCAAACTCAACTTTGTTTTTCACGATCATTGAAGTCACTACAGACAAAGCGATTCTGCTTCAATAAATCAAACTTATCTTTTGAGATTCTGTCGCGGTCTGAAGGAGATACAAACAAATCTCTTCAACATTTGATGCTCAAGACAAGTTAGAGGATCACAGAAAGAACACAGTCTCAGGAATCCTGCTATATAATGAAAGTTACGTTGCATTTTGATCTGCAAATACTGTGTACAGATCAATTGTTTGTATTGGTGTATTCATCATTTCTTCAAGATGCAGCAAGTTAAAGCCTTTCTTCATCATGGGTTAGCACACTTTTGTGTATTCTCAACTGCAGAAACACGCGCCATATCGTTCGCTCTTTGGGATTGTCGGGTACAAGGATATGCACACCAAAGATGCTTCACATGACAGAATTAAGAGCTGCAAGCTCGAGATCAAACAGCTGTGCAAGCACAAAAATTCTTTTCTTTTGTTAGAGAAACCTGACGCTTATCTCGATGTGTTGGTATCACATTTGATAAAAGTCTGCATAGTAACCCAAAGCAAGCCGTATGCACTGCATTTAAGAAAGCGGGGGACGAGTATACAGCTACCTGAAAGTTGGTCACAGCAATCCTTATCGGCGCACTTTAGATTGCAATTGACTTTTTGAACGATCAAAGTGCTACGTAGCTACAAGCTGAACATCCGGCGCGTTCAAAGTGACAAAATTCCTGTCAGTGCAGGCCTCACCGCAAAAACATTTGAGTAGAAGCGTGTTATACGAGAACCTGATCGTCATAACTATATGGTGCATGGTTTTTGCAGCTTCAAAACAACCTTCGATCAACGGGTCTATGCGAAAACAAAAAAGCACGAAATCGACTAATGAGTCTTGAACTCGTTTCTAGAATCTTGGAAACTGGTGGAGCTTGACTTGAACGTCAAAAACCTTTCTTGTACAGGAATCAGGATGGATTACATATGGATTCAAACTAGCATTCAGCTTGGAGACCCCTTCGTTGTGAAATTTAGGATGAATAGCACATGCAAGGATAGCGATATAGAAGATGTAATTTGATGCTGCTGGAATTACCAACGTATGGCTTTCCGTGTAACATTGCTCAAGTTTGAATGGACTTAGTTCACTTTAGTATGTATGATCTTGGAGATGACTGACGCTAGGCACATATACACCGAAGCAAATAAAAGACGAATCTACCGTTATTATAGGTGTTTGTTGATAGCGCTTTAATGTGGTCTGAACAACCGCAACTCAGATCATCAAAAATAGCAGCTACATCTACACTGGCAAGTTGCTTTTACTACGCAGGTTGTGTGCAAGTAAGTGCGCAAGTGTTAGTGGTAATACTTTTCATGGATCAATAGATTGAGGAAGTCGCGCTGAAGACCAATAGGCTTTTTGTTTTGTGAGGAGCGTGTCATGAATGAAACAAAATTGATAGAAAATCTTGCTGCCAACCTTAAACGGCAGTAAGAAATTCACCACACCACTGTAGCTTCGTTTGATAGCATGACTTCGCCATGATGCCTGCTACAATATCATTTGTTTCAACATATTAGATCTGTAGTCGTATGGCTGAAATCAAAGCGTCAATAAGTGGTGCTTAACATCACCACTTCTCGTTTCTTCATTTTGATATGCTAATATGATCCGACGAATGCCAAACAGAGCTTTACTACAAGGTGAATTCGCTGCAAAGGCCCATAGCTGAGCTGTCAGAGCAGACAGAACATCAGGACAACTGTAAGTGGTACAGGTGATGTGTCGTCATGCTCTGGGTCGTGATGACGACATAGTCATGTAGTGAGAATCCTGATTTCTGTCATCTTAACAGTTAGCTTTAATCCTAACACGCAGGGAATAACAAGGGGTCAATGCATGAAACTTTCGTAGTTTTAGTTGCATCGCCTTCTCCAACCCAGTGAAAAACATGGATGTCAGTGCTATGCTATAGCAAACATCATCAATCTGGTAAGATCAATCCAAATAAGCAATAGACATCTTGAGCAGAGAGCAAAATTCCAATGATTTAAACAGATGGGGTCTCACTATGTGAAAAGCACCCATCAAAAAGTCTGTACAAATCCTATCTTTTGTTCAATATAGTGTATGACAAAGGGGAGCCAACTACAGACAATGATTCTAGATCTTATAGCTCTGGTGATTCTAGTCAATGGTATATGGTATGGAAAGCTTACACATTCGTTTCGGGAATTCTTTCAAAATTCAAGACTCAAAGTACCTTACAATAGCACGTGACTATGGATAGCCGCAAGTCTCAATTGACATCCTAAACACAGATATACCGATAACAAGTGGTGTATATAATGACGAACAGCTATCCTGCATCGATGGCCAAGTTGACGTGGGATATCTTCGCAAGATAATTTCTTTTATCTGCGACAACTCACGCTCAAAGGCCTCGATTGTAACGCCAGATACAGACTTTTCGCCATCGCCTTTGACCAAACATCGTCTTTCTTTTCTATGTCTCGTTGCCTCGAATTTTTCGTACTGTATGTAGTTACTAGTCCCCAGCTGCTGCGTCGCTATACGTTGCTTCATTGGTGGTGGTATCTTCGTGCGATTGTTTCGCACTCGCTAAAACTTATGTTTACAATAGCGTCATGAACCCAAGTATAGCATTAATTCTAGCAATTTCTCGCGAAGACTTGAACGAACAATTAACCACGTCTGGAATCCATCGAAGGTTAAGAAGCCTTAGATTCCCATCATGACTTAAAACTAGTGGCTCCAAGCGACACGTCATGAAAAAGGCGGATACCCTTAAGGCAACGGGTCCAGTCAGACAGACGGGCGGAGTGGACTTCAGAAGAGCCGAGAGACGGCGCTGCTTTTTTTTTGACGCTCATAAGTCATGGTTGGCAGTCTGACCATCACATGTGCCATCAGTGGCTGTCGGTCGCTGCTAATTTAATAAAGATCGTTCGTAGTGCACACGTACACAGCACGATAACAGTGTAACTACCTTAATACATCTACATGTAACGCGTAACGACTGTGAAGCAAGAAAGATGATGGCAGTGACTCATTAAGAACAGACCGGGCGTCTAAAATTGCAAGCTAGATAAATTAACTGCTTATAACTTATCGTGTCTTCATTTAACACGTAAATACACTTGGCACGCTTTCATCTATGGCACGCATGCCTGCTTGAATAGATAATTTGAGAGGTTGGGAGGAGCTTCAGCACGAAAGTTGGCGATAAATGAAGGATATGATCGTAGCGCAGCTGATTTCTCCACCACTGCCCGTCTGTCTGCAACCAACCAAGGTGATGGCAGCTGCGACTGCTCGCTCTGCGTCTCTTGCAAGGACTATCACTCATCTCAAAATGAAACTTGTGATAGCGTCTTTGCTCTTTGATGAACGAGAAATACTTGAAAGCGCTGAATTACTTCTTGTTAGCACTTGGAGGTGACTCACGATCCTTTTGTATCCACGCACTCTTGAGTAAGTCAATCTCGAGGTTCGTTTGGCGTTGCTTTTGTGCGTCGTCAGCGTCCTTTGCAGTAGGCTTAGGGGGCATTTTTTTCCGCGATAAGCGAAATGCGTCGGTACTCAAGTGTGTCCTGGCGCGCAAATTGCGGTTTGAATCGACTTGAGCTAGACGCATCGTAGCCAGCCCTTTGTTTGACGACGTGACGGGTTGGGTGGGTCCTAAAGCTAGAGTGCATCTCCAAAAGGATTGGGATTCTTCCTCGACGTGTCGACAAGACAACTTCTTAGCCCAACCAAATTTCCACCATGTGGTAAAAAGGCCAAATTCGAGTGCGTTGAACAAGTGGAGTGGGAATGACTGGTGTCGTGACTATTTAAAAAAAACTAACGAATGTAGGAACGACATTTACAGTCGCAAGATAGAGAGAAAAACGAAGCGGCAAAGAGATGAACGATTTTAGTTTTTTCAAACATTGAAAAGCACAGGTACATTATGTCGTGCGTCCAATTCAAAAATTGTGTGGACTGGCTCGTCCAGCGCCGCCCAGGAGAGTGAGACTGGATGTGAATTATTTGGACACTGATGTCCGTTCTGCGAAGCTCTGGTCCGGTGCCGCAGAAGATGAGCGAAGCCATCGGAGCGATTTCTTTGCTTTTTCACTCGGACTCTTGCTTCCACCCACCAATCATTTATACATAGCTATTCTAGTCTAGAGAAAAATACTATACGAATGTCTAGATATTAAATACAAGAGCCATTACATTGGTGTAGCTTTGTAGACGAAAATTTTGCCATCCTACACCTGATGAAGTAACAACTGGCACTTCATCACAAATATTTCGACATGTAGAATCTTGAAATTTCGATGCGCGCTAACCCAATTAGTCAAGCAGATGTATGATTGTGTATGTCGGCGACCCCTTGCCGCAAAGAATCTGCTGGAAATCGCATGTCTAAATTTCTAGACTTTGCGTAGTACAAACTCACTAAATGGACTAGCGAACGTCTAGAGAAATGATCTCGAATGGTCACATGTATGACATTGAAAATGGTAAAAGTTGTTAGGATTGCACAAATGAGTTTCTTCTGTTGAAACATTTGTAACGCTCTTAGCATGTACGTCAGTGAATTCCTTGCTTGGTCTTTCTGCTGTCTGCTATTAGATAAATGTTGAAGTTTGTGAGATGTACAAGAAGAAGCACACGCCAGAACCTGAAAATTCAACTTAATCAAACGATCGATTTGTAATATTTTCAAACTCACATTCTGTAGTTCAAAAGAGTCGTTTTTAAAGCTGTGATTTTTTAACTTGAAACAGGATACAATTCTGGATCTCTGAAGAGCATGAAACTTCAATGTCAAAAGTTTTCGTGGACAGACTCCCCCACTGCATCGCTTGGTGTGCAGTAAACGAAATAGTATTCGTCCATAAATGGCCAATTGACTGTTGTATTACGCTCTACACGTCACCAAGATAGTAAAATAGTACTTTCATATACTATACCCTATACTTTGGATATACTGTATCCGTTCAGTGTAAGATATCAAATTATTAAACTCACTACGCTGATATTTTCAGTATATTATCGCATCTCGGTGGCGTTCTTACGTACCATATGGATTGAAAAGTAAAACCAGACAAATGACGTCAGACTTTCAAATTTACGACCTTCAGTCACATGCTTGTGACAAACTTGAAAATTTTGTGAAAAAGTTGGTGTGACACGAGCTGCTAAAGGCGAAGAATGATGTGAAATCTGCATTTTGAGCTGATTCGCGGTATAAATTTTAAAATTTCGATTGTCTTGTTCACAAAAGATTGTCAACATACATCTCAGACTCTTGTTGATGTCCAGCAACGTTTGGCATCTTGGCTCTATGGCTTCTGAGATCTTTAGACTTTGTTTGTAATAGTTCAACCATGTTTTCGATAGAAATCTTGCAGTCGCAACACTGTCAGCGTGATTTGTAATAGCTGAAGTCTTGAAGCTAGCGCGGACAGCATTGTAGTCAGGGGGCATAGTCTCTTGAAAGTACTGTGAAGATTGATGCTATCTGTGTAGTCATTGAAGTACTTTGTAGTGTCTATTTACTTCACGTCTTTCAGCTTACAACTGAGGCAATAACTCTAAAGGTCACGCATATTTATTAAAAACAGCAATCAGAGACCCAAACTATTGGCGTGACAGTGTTCATATGAGTCGCATTAAAAGCTAGCTATAACCACATATAACATTTGGTTAAGCTTTTGGTTCATTGGTTTACTAAACATTGCGCTTCAGATCGTTTTAAATGCTTCGCTCGCTCTATGTATGTACTTACATGCAAAGAAATTAAAGCATATCAAGAATTGGGCTGCCATCCATTGTCATTAGAATTAATGTATGAACCAATCAGCAAATTTTGTGTAACTTACACAAATTCACACTTGATGCGCAATTGTTTTGGTAAGACAACCAAAATTTTTATGACCTGCGCTGGCTACTAAGCCAAAGAGCAGTCATTACAGCAGCACCTAGGACATGTGTCCTTGGATCGAAATATTTTAACTGTGACTGAAAGGCCCAATTGATTTTCTTAGTAGACGCGGTAGATACATGAGACAGACGTTTACTAATATAAATACATTTGGTGTTGGCTTTAAACGGGTTCAAAATGCTTTCAAAGCCTCTCAGTAGAGATTCGATTCGAAGACAGGTGAGCACCTCTGGAGCTAAAAGCCTTAGTAGTTTGCCGTTGTCGATGATCATCATTTTGAATGTGAGCGGACAGACCACTTTAAAATATCACATATGGCCGGTATGTCCAAGCCCAGGATGGACGGCTCAGACTGCTGAAGCAAAAGCAACGTATACATGACGGAAGGGATGATGATGCTTTTCACTTTTGGGCTCTCAAGTCAGTGCTTTTAAACTCGTAGCTCTGATGGAAACTGAGTCTTAAAGTTGGTTTTAATATTGTCCATGCTTAGCGTATTGGCAAAATATTGTTGTTCACATGCGAGAAGATGTCGTCAGGATGTTTCAATCATAGCCGCGACTCTTGGAGTGCGTGTTGTGTTTTAATCTGGAAAATATAAGCTCTATCGGCACTGGCACATACTACAAAACATACATAGAGAACGCAGACTTGAAATTTGAGATAAAGCGCGCTGACTGTACATCGGGTTAACGATCCTCCTACCTGGACAAGTCAAGGTTACGGTGCTCATGAACGAAATAGTGTAAGTTCAGCCCGCACCTGAAGTTTACGAGTGCTGGCTAGAGATTTATGGCATGCAATACAGACCACGCGCCATAAAAAAGACAAGCTCACACCTCTTTGATAAGATGGCAGGTTCAGTGGTGTCTACTGCAGTTATAGAGCTAATACTGGCCCAGTGCCGACGAATCACATTGAAACTAAGCTTAGAGCTATTCGTGTTTTGACTGCTGTTAGTCGGGACACAAAATTCGTGCTTGCTACCTTATGAAGTTCGGGCAAACATGGCGTACATTATCCCAAGTAAAGTTTTGCGGGATCGTGGCATGAATCACGCGCTCGAGCCAAAAACGAATGTATCATTAAAAGAAGCTTACTGCTGGGTACAAAGTGAACCCGTGAGAAAGCGTGATGGTCACACACCATTATAATGCCTTAGCTCTCAGGAGCATTGATGCTCTAGATGGATCAAAGAGTGGCAAATACCTACAATTTTCCGCGCAAGTGTTTCGATCTCATTTACTTAGACGCGTCAAATAAAGAGTGAGAAGAACGCCGACCGATATCGGTGAGACTGGCAGATAGGGCTGTCGTGAGTTACGTCTGGTTCGCATTTTTGGCTCTAAAGCTCACTGTCTAAAGCTGCTTAAATCCTAGAGATAGATAAGTATGATCTTATTCCGGTCATACTGTGTATTCGGGAGCACGGGATTAATTGGCGCGGCGATGATGTTTACGCCAGCCGCTCATAATAAGCCTTGGTAAGTAATATTCGGTCTCTGTCGGACGTGATGTTACCCGTAGGGTAATTAGGCGAGTCTAAGTAACGTTGCGATAGAAATAAATATTGGAGTCAACCACCGATAGGCTCCACCAACAGCAAGAACTGTTATTATCGCTTTCGGGTAACTTAATTACACTGAGGCTTGTGAAGCGATACTGGCCTTGAAATCTCGAAGTCATTGTATGCGAGGGTAGCCTAGCTAAACGCCGGGGTGGGCAGAGATATGCCTCGACAGGTCACTTACAAAAATGATATTGCTGAATACATGTATTGTCTAGGAGCAGCGAGATGTAGTCGTCACTCCGCCAGCACAGCAGATTGCCGCACTAGGTCGAGATGACCGAGGGTGACACCACTGTTTATATCGTAAAGTGTGACTACTTATCGGCCGCGCCTAATCACAGTTGGTGTGATGGATGTCAAAAAGGTCACGGATGTCAAAATGGCAATATTAAGAGTAGAAGAGAAGAGAAGAGAAGAGAAGAGAAGAGAAGAGAAGAGAAGAGAAGTTTGCGAGCCTTACAGATCTTGCGACGTCATCGCCTAATCTCTTGCAGAAAATAGTAAGATGGTACTTCTCTTTGCCAGGTATGATTTAAGGTAAAAATCAGGCCGGGTCGGCTCACATTTCTGACGGGTGCACTTTCGCGTCACCTCGGCTATAGTTCTCGCATTTTTCTTTTCTAAAGGGTAGGTCAAAGAATGTCGTTGCATTCTTAGCAATATGACCGATCTTCACGCAAAAGCAACGGCAATTAGCTAGAAGCATGTAGAGAAATAAAATTCGAGAATGCTGAGTTAGAAAATTTCTATCAAACGTATGTAGTGTGTGAAAGTTATGTTACTGCAGCTGAAGAGAATAAAAGCATATTATCTCTTAACCCCGAGTCCTCGGTGATAAATACATCGTCACGAAATATTGCCGACAGCCAATGACGCGCCATGCAGAGTGACAGAAAGATCCATTTGTAATGGAATATGTCAGATGTGTGATCTTCGTAGCTCCTGTGGGCTGTGAAGCCATGCCCGAGATAAACTTGTGCTCGGTATGGAAAATTGTGGAGACAAACGCCTCCCCTCGCAATCAATATATTTCAATGTAAACCTCCTTCTGAGTAGCGAATGCGCGATGGTGCGGGATCGTAATCCCCAAAATTGTCTTACACTTTTGTTTGAAGTCCAAATAAGAGTAGCGAAAAGTTCGCTTTTCTGAACAAAGACTGAGAAGTGTCACTGTAACGACCTAGGCATCTATGTCTACAAAACTGATTGCTAACAAACACGTTCAGATGCAAAGTAGCGTAATAAAACCTGTATTGATGTTTTTCAACACTTACCTAATAGAAGAGTCGCAGCAGAGAAGTTCTCATGTGGTATGCTTGGAATGGACTCGCGACTTCAGAGGGTCTACTCTAATCGAGCGGCTATTATTCGTTTGGTTACACCATTCTGCTAATGCATACTTTGACAAAATATTTATCAATAGCCTGGATGATGAATGCCAGCCAGGATGCTTGAAGAACCATTGTCAAGTGTTAAACGCATCCAAGATCGATATTATAATGCCAAACGCGGCTATAGACGGCCACCGACACGCCACATCAGTTGCAAAGTTTGTCTACATGGCCGTCAATTTTGGTGATATATCACCTCAGTATACATGACAGGTATACCCAATAATTATGATGGGATCTTTATCGCTTCGACGCGACAATGAGCGGTTTAACTTCGGTCAAGTTATGGCTAATGTCTATGATATGATTTGTCTGGCATGCAATTCGTAAAAGCCAATCTGGAACGTTTGTCAGGATTCCTTTTCGAAGGCAAAGCTGCCAACCGAGCGGCTTAGGTATCGATAGAGTTAGCCAAGCCATGTTTCACAATATAGTGAAAATCTCGTTAATCACTCCAGACATCAAAGGTATGTGTTTGATGTACTTCTATAACGCAGGATTCATCCTTCGGTGGACATTTGGACTAACAAAAGACCTTCCATTTAATTCCTCCTTTGATGGTCGCTTATTTGTAAGTGATTAAACAGTTATGCACGAACGTATGAGAACGATCAGCGAAATAAGTCGGCAGATTACATGTCGGATAGTTTTAAGCCTGACCGTTCCAGGAAACCGTAGGTAAAAGTTAGGCTCGACTTCAGCTTCAGTTTGACAGCCAGTCAAATGGAACACAAAAGTGGACGATCAAGATACTTCAACTTGCATTGGCTCCCGCCGAAATTACGGGTGAGCAACGACGAGGCTCATTTTTGCTAACGCGTTTCAATTTCATATTTGTATACAACGGTTCTTCAGGCGCGTATTACAGCAACATTTTATAAAATGCTGCTTAGTTTTTTAGTTCTAACACTGTTGATATCCACAGCTGACTATCTCTAGACAAATTTGGGTCAATAGGGTATTCTATGAGCCGAAATGCCGCTTACGTGTGAGCTGGTTCTGCGCTCATTAGTGCGGCTCACGCCGATGGGCTTACCTCATTTTGTGGGCAATTTTCAACACTCGAGAGTACCTAACGGGTGCACAAAGCTTCCATTCTGAGCTGAGAAAAGCAGGGGGGCAGAACTCTTCAAACATTTGATGTCGGTCTTTTTGGACAACTGGTTGAACGTGTACGCGATGCAATGGCTCAAGCCGAACGTAAAATTGTTTTCTTACATAAATGAGCATAAAATGCTCACGGATTTTATGACGGCGACAAAGAATGTCACTGAAAATAAAACTCTGTCTGTGAGCAAATTTGGTTTGATCTGGAAGGTCAAGCAGCGATACACTCTTCCTCCGCCAAATAAAAGTTTTTATCTCTTAACTTACAAAAGTCACACTAGACTTATTCTGCGAAATACCTGAGTTATCTGCAATATACCCTAGCCAATCTGTGTCTTATAATCAAATGAGCGGTTAGAAAGAAAGTTTGGCATATTCTTAAAAATGCAAGGCTGCATCTGCGGAACAAAGAGCAGTTCAATATTGGAACCGAAAATTCTAAGCTTCGGGATTTAATATAAACTAGCCTCGATTTGAAATAGTTCGAATAAGCTTGTTACTTCCGGCACGACTGTTGCATTAGCAAAAACATCAATGCCTCTCTCAAAACCAATCAATTGGGACACCAGAGTGCGTCAATTGTCCTACTGGCTTAAGAAAGCCACGTCGACTTATAATAGGTCAAAAGCGTTGAAACCGTCCCCGAGACGGAGTTTAAGAGAGTATCTGGGCTCATAGATAGAAGGATCATTCGTACATGAAAAATCTGGTAATGAAACTTGTCATGGACGCAAATGAAATCCTCGAATATATATATATATATATA